GCACCACAGCTCTGGGCAACCAGAGCTGTGATGCTCCAAATTAGGAGCAGAGTACAACAGTTCCTCTGTCAGACTCAGAACTGGACCTTCCCAGCTTGGTTCTCACCCTGACGACGCTGGATCAGGGAAATCCCCCCCAAGGAAGGATCAGAATGGCTACCTCAGTGTGGACTGTGTCCAACAGTTCACTCACATCATGTGGATGCAGGGAGTACCCTAGTGTGAATGGACATTGTAATTCTGTAAACTCTGAAAATGGGTTTTAAAACAACCAGTATTAACGTGCATAGTGTTAAATTTGCTATGCAACGTGTTTCCACATTGGCTTACCTGCAGCTACAGAAAAGGGTCAACTTGTGGACCCACAGGCCTTTGATTTGGTCAGGGGAAACAATTGTGGTTCCTCTGGCCCTGGGCATTCTGCTATGAAGAGGTAACTTCACCTTCTCTGAAGTTAAGGAGGTATTAGGCAGTTAGCAGACGTCATTTACAGAAACATATACCCCTGGTGCAAAAGAGTGAGTGGCTTGCCATCTTGCAGGAGCTCCTGCTGCAGCTGGTGACATCCCAGCTGGTCATTCTGGCCAGAGACTTCAACTGCATCATCGAGGCAGATGGACAATCTGGATGGACTGACAGCAAACTGGATGCCACATCCAGATTCCTGATGGAAATGATAAAAATCGCCAAGCTGCGCAATATCTTCAGCACCCTTGCAAATGGAGTGCAGTGTAGATACACCTGTTCACAGCCAGACAGGTCTGTCCGCTCTAGGATAGATTTCCTGTTTGCACCCGGCACATTCTCTGTCAGATCCACTGATGTCAAGCTGGTGTTCTTCAATGACCATTGCCTCCTGCTGGCTAACTGTCACCTACAGGATGACCAGCATGCCAACAAGTAGATGGCCTTTGATAAGATATTACATATATACATGCGGGACAAACTCTCCAAAATTGGCTTGGGGAGGGAATTTGCAATTGGATCTGGCCGCTTGATACCAACATCATTATTGCAGTCTCAATCAATGTGTAGGCATCACAAAGCTTCCCAACAGATCTGGAGTCAAGTAGCGCTGCCCACTCTCTCCTGCCTTGTTTGTGTGTTGTATAGATCCTTTTGCTGAGTCCATCAGGGAGGATGCAAGCTGAGAGGGGTGACTGTTCCAAGCAGTGGAGGCCTGCAGGTCAAAGCTTCTCTGTACATGGATGACATCGCCATTTTCTGCTCGGATCCACTGTCAGTGCACAGACTCATGAGTATGTGCAGTCAGTTTGAACTAGCCTTGGGAGCCAAGGTAAATCGAGGCAAGAGCAAGGCCATGTTCTTTGGGAGCTGTGCCAACCAATGCTTTATCCCCTTCACTGTCAGGACAGATTACTTGAAGGTACTGGAAGTATGGTTCAGAGGGCCTGGGGACATGCATAATAACTTACAAGTAGCATATTGATAAGGTGAGGCAGAATGTGGGCTTTTGGGAGCACCGCTCCCTCTCCATTGCAGGTAAAATCCTGGTCATCAGATGTGAGGCACTCTCTGATGTTGTATATGGCACAGGTTTGGCCCATCTGCAGAATCTGTGCCGTTGCAGTCACCCAAGCCATGTTCCACTTCATCTGGAGTCTAAGATAGACTGTGTCCACAGGGACACCATGTACAAAACTCTGGATAAGGTGGGGAAGAGCATAATCAACACCGTCCTCATCCTGATGGTCACCTTTACACGTGGTTGCATCAAACTGTGCACAGACTCTTTGTATGCAAACACCAAGTATCACTATGTACTGAGGTTCTACTTGTCCACTGTGTTATGAAGGATGGCACTGCCTTGTTATCGTGGAATGCTCCAAGTAATTGGACCTTTCGGTATCATCTGTCCTTTGTGGATAAATTTGCAAAGAGAAACACCTTTGTTGACAAGTCTTTCAGAAAGTGGTCAGCACGTAGCATCCTCGAGACACCGTGGGAAAAGGAGAGGGTGGTTTTAATGCAGTGCCATTGGATCTGTTGTGTATGCCTGAGAGGAATATCTCTCAATTCACAAGCAGGCAGCTGTGGCTGTGCAGCATTCCTTCAGTACTGCACTAGAGTTTCAGCCTTGATTTTGTACTCAAGTCTCCAGACTGGGGTTTGAACCCAGAAGTTTCTGATTACACCGTAGACCATCTGTGCACTTCATTGGCTGAACTAATTATGTCTCTCAAAGGTGAGTTCTGTTCAAGAATCCATTAATGATCTCAAATTGCACCTTGAGTTAGGTGATTGTGCAGGATCACCTCCCATGTTATTAAAACTGAAGACTATGTCCATCACTGCTTAAGTGCAGAACATTCAAAGATTTATCTGAATCCCTTGGATATGATATACATCCATTTACAATTTTCACAACTGAATGAACAGAGTTCTGAAAATAAATCATAAGCATTAGTAAGAAGCTCGGATACACTTAAAAGTGGAATTTGGCTTACTTAGCACTGTAGAGCAATAGCTATGTCAGTACCACTCCCCACCACGAATTGATGTAAGTGGCCTTATTGTATACAGCAGTGAATGTTTTGAATTTCTGATAAGGAAGTGGTTAATGGTAGAAATGTAAAATTGACTTAATTTATAAAATAAAACTGGGTTCTGGCTGTGGTTGGTTAGGTCTGCATTTATTGCAAAACCTTAATTACCCTTGAAAAGGTGGTAGTGAACTACCTGCTTGAATTGTTGCATTCTATGTAGAATAGGTACACCCACAGTAGTGTTTGAAAGGGAATTCCAGGATTTTGACACAGTGACAATGAAGGATCAGTGCTATTGTTCCAAGTCAAGGTGGACTGTGGCTTGTGGGGGAAACTTGCAGATTGTGATGTTTCCATTCAGCTGCTGCTTCTTCGAGATAATAATAGTCGTTGATTTGGAAGGTGCTGTTGAAGGAGCCTTGGCGAATGTGTCTTGTAGATAGTACACACTACTACCACAGTGCTTTGGTGGCGTACAGTGTGAATGTTGAAGGTGGTGGATAGGGTGCTAGTCAAGTGGGCTGTTTTTTCCTAGATTGTGTCAAGCCCCTTGAGAATTGTTGGAGCTGCAGTCTTCTAGGTGAGTGGAGAATATTCCATTATAATCCTAATTTATGTCTTTTAGATGTGGACAGGCTTTTGGGAGTCAGGGTGGGCATTACTCACTGTAGAATTCACAGTCTCTGACTTGGGCTTGTAGCCACAGTATGTCAATGGTTGGCCTACTTCGGATTCTGGTCAATCATATACACCAATATGTTGTGAGGACTTAATTTAATTCACTGTAAACTAGTTCAATGAAAGAAAATTGAAAGAACTTTAATAATTTAAAGTTTCAGAAGTGTTTCATGGTTAATAAACAAAGCTAATTGAAAATGATCCAATTAGAAGCAAAACAATTCAGAAAAATCACAGTTTTCCCAAATGAAAGATTGGCTGCCTTGCCGTCTGTGACTTCTATGGATTGTTGACAATATTGGTTCCCTGCTATTACCTTGTAGAAGTTATTGATTCCTTTTATTGTGAATTTCTGCAAATTATATGCTTGGGAAGAATTTGGAAATAATTTGGTATAACAATAATTTGTGTGTTACTGTGTGTATCAATCATAATGGTATTAGATGGCAGAGCAGGTTCAAATGCTATATTCCTGCACCCATTTCTAATCTTCTTTATCTCTGCCAATATGGATAATGTTCATTCCAAATCACGTGATCAAAACCAGCAGGGAGATCCGTCAGATTTTAGATGTATACATTTATTATCAAATAAAGATTTGTTTCCACATGACACGTGTTACTATGAGTAAATAATTATTTAGAGTCACTTTAATCAAGAGTTTTATCAGCATGGAAAGATGCCCTTCAGTCCATCAAGTCAATTCTGGTTACCAAGTGTCCATCTATTCTAACACTTTTTACTAGCACTTTGGCCATAGCCTTGTCTGCTACTTAAAAGTGTTCATCTAAATAGTTCTTATATGTCTTGAGGGTTGTGACCCCTACCACACTTCAAGGCAATGAATTCCTGATATTCACAATCCTGTGACTGAAAAAAAATGCCTGACATCCCTCTAAAGCTCTTGCTCCTCCAATAAAATTTGCCTTTGGTTATTGACCTCTCTATGAAGGAGAACTGTATGTCACTATATACCCTGTCTATACCTTTCAGAGCTTTATACACCTCAATCAGTTCCCCCTCAGGTTTCCCTGCATTAGGGAAAACAAACCCGTCCTACCTAGTTTGTCTTCATTGCTGAATTGTTCCAGTCCAGGCAAAATCTGGTGAATCTCTTCTGATCCTCTCTCGTACAAATTATATGCTTCTTATAGTGCCATGATCAAGACTGCACACAATACTCCTCCTGTGGCCTAAGTGACATTATATACAGCTTTGTCATAACATCCTTGTTCTTGTATTCAATGCCTTGACTAATAAAGACAAGTTTCCCATATGTATTCATAAGTCCCTTGTCTACCTGTTCTGCTATCAAGAACAAAAAAAACTCCAGAAAATACTGGTAAAACTCAAGCAGATCTGGCAGCATCTGTGGAAAGAGAACAGATTTGACGTTTTGAATCCAGTGACTCTTCCTCAGTTCTGATTTTTAACGGTAATTTCGGTGTTAATTTCTGATTTCTAACGTCTGAAATTCTTTATTTTTCCGCTGCCTTCAAGAATCTAGACATGCACACCGAAGTCTCTTTGATTCTCTGATACTTGCCAGAGTCCTACCATTCAATGTGTAGCTTTGGGCCATTCTTCTTTCTACACAAACATGCATTCAGTTTGCTCAGAGAATTGTGTTCCAAGTTGGAGGGTTCAATCGAGAAATGTATTGCAATAACCAGTGTAGGGGGCGCGGCCACGTGTGGGCGTGGTCAGGGTCCACGGGGGCAGTTGGTGTTGTTTTTGTGGGGCGGGACCAAGGGCTCGGGGGGCGCGGCCTCGATGCCGCAAAGTGTCGCGCGAGTGGTTCTGCTTTACGGGAGGCGGGCAGTTTGAACGAGCAGAAGTTGGCGGAACGGTGGTGGGTTCGGGATTGTGGTCGTGATTGTAGGGCTGAGGCCTCGGGCGCTGGCAGTAAGTGTGATAGATCCGCTCGTTGATTTGTGTTTTTGTTCCTGCTGCGGTTTGTGCAAATATCACACGGCATTCAGCCAGTGCGGAGTGACCGAGCGGGGCCCGTTGCTAGGGTAACCACACAGGTCAATAACGGCCGTTGCAGCCTAGCCCGAGGGAAACCTCAATAAAGCTCCATCAAAAGGTATCTGCATTGAACCGTATAAACCGAAAGAACTGCGGACATTGTAAATCAGGAGCAAAAACAGAAGTTGCTGGAAAAGCTCAGCAGGCCTGGCAGCATCTGTGAAGAAAAAAAATCAGTTAACATTTGGGGTCTAGTGACCCTACGCCAGAACTGTGTGTGTGTGTGCGCGCGCATGTGCATCAAACTGTGTTTGCAATAAACACCCTCTTGCAAGTGGAGTCCCCTCCCACAATAAGCCTCCCATCAACTTCATCTTGTATAACTCTAATACTCCCTCCCCCATGTACTCCTCCCGCAATTAAACCGCATCGAGGTAAACAGCCCCAAAAGAAATCTGGCAATAAATACGTTCTGCAATGAATCCCCTCCTGCAAACACCCCTCTCCAATAAACATCTACCTAACAAACCCTCTCCGCAATGAACCCCGCAGCAAAAAAAGGTCCTCTGCAATCACTCTGCCATAACCTTCCCCAAATAAACAATGACGATATTAACTCCCCCTATTAAATCCGTCACATTCAACAAACCCAGAATCTAGTCTACTGCATTCGCTGCTCACAATGTGGTCTCCTCTACATTAGGGAAATGAAGCATAGACTTGGCGACCGCTTTGCAGAACATCTACGTTCTGCTCGCAAAAAAGACCCAGAACTACTACTTGTCTGCCACTTCAACACACCACCCTGCTCCCTGGCCAACATCTCCATCTCTGGCTTGCTGCAGTGTTCTAGCCAAGCCCAACGCAAGCTGGAGGAACAACACCTCATTTTCCGCTTGGGGACCCTACAGCCCTCTGGACTCAATATTGAGTTCAATAATTTTAGGGCCTAAACTCTCCCATGCCCCAGCCCCCTACTCCACACACCAGGCCTTGTTACCACATAGCCTGCCATTACACACCCGCTGTTGTTAGTCACTAACAGTCCCCATTAACAACTGTTCACCCTCCCAGCCTGATTGTTAGCAACTCTTTTGTCTGTCCAACTGTCTTTCTCTCTCTTTGGGCTCTATCCTATCGTTTACACCCCACCTCCCTATTTTCTGCATATAAACTGACATTCTCCCAGCCACCACCAGTCCTGAGGAAGGGTCACTGGACCCAAAACGTTAACACTGTTTTTCTTCACAGATGCTGCCAGACCTGCTAAGCTTTTCCAGCATTAGAGATAGTAGGAACTGCCGATGCTGGAGAATCTGAGATAACAAGGTGTAGAGCTGGATGAACACAGCAGGCCAAGCAGCATCAGAGGAGCAGGAAAGCTGACGTTTCGGGTCTGGACCCTTCTTTGGAAAACATAACTTTGTTTTTGTTTCTGATTTATAGAATCCGCAGTTCTTTCAGTTTTTCCCAAGTAAATGACCCTGGTTGTTTATGCACACAGATTCCTCTACGTTCCTATGACCCTGCTTATGCTCCCTCAGCCATCTGTAAAATAAACCTCTTCTGTATTAACGCACTTTGAATCCACCCCCACTGCTATCCAAAGGTGCCTAATCATGCCTTAAATGATGCCGCTCCCAAATAACCTTGTTCGGTTAAACTTGATTAAAACCAAAACAACTATGGATGCTGTTAAACAGGAACAAAAACAGAAGTTGCTAGAAAAGCTCAGCAGGTCTGGCAGCATCTGTGAGGAAAAATCAGAGTTAACGTTTCAGGCCTCGTGACCCTTCCTCAAGTGATAATACCTAGGAAATTGTTGGTTTATATACAGAAGAGGGGAGGGAGTGAGGACTAAACCCAAAGAGAGAAAAAAAAAACAGTTGGATAGACAAAGAGGTTGATAACAATCTGGCTAGGAGGGTGAATAACTGTTATTGGGAACTGTTGGTGACTAACGATAGGTACTGTCTAATGGCGGACTATGTGATAACAAGGCCTGGTGTGTGAGGTAGAGGCCTAGGACATGGGAGAGCTTGGGCCCCAAAATTATTGAACTCAATATATGGAGTCCAGAGAGCTGCAGGGTCTCCAAGTAGAAAATGAGGTGTTGTTTTTCGAGCTTGAACTGAGCTTCTCTGGAACACCACAGGAAACCTGAGAGAGAGATCAAAATCCTGAGCTTCCAGTTGCCTGCCACTTTAACACACCATACTGTTCCCTGGCCAGCATCTCTGTCTCAGGCTTGCTGCAGTGTTTGAGTGAAGCTCAGTGCAAGCTGGAAGAACAACACCTCATTTTCCGCTTGGGGATCCTGCAGCCCACCCGACTCAATATTGAGTTTAGGGCCTAAACTGTCCCATGTCCTAGTCCCCTACTCCACACGCCAGGCCTTGTTTTAACGTGGAGATAGTAAGAACTGCCGATGCTGGAGTCTGAGATAACAGAATGGAACTGGAGAAACACAGCAGGCCAGGCAGCATCAGAGGAGCAGGAAAGCTGACGTTTCGCTGGACTCTCCCCGACCTGAAAAGTCAGCTTTCCTGTTCCTCCAGCTCCACACTGTGTTATCTTTTTTTAACATCGTCTGTCATTGCACACTACCTATTGTTAGTCGTTAACATTCCCCATGAACACCTATTCACCCTCCTAGACAGATCATTATCTACTGCTTTGCCTGTCCAACTGCTCTTCTCTCTCTATGAGCTCTATCCCCACCTATTGTTTACTCCTTACCCCCTCCCCCCACCCTATCTTCTGCATATAAACCAAGATTTACCTAGCTACCATCAGTTCTGAGGAAGGGTCACTGGACCCGAAACGTTAACTCTGTTTTCTCCTGCACAGCTGCTGAGCTTTTCCAGCAACTTTGTTTTTGTTCCTGATTTACAGCATCCGCAGTTCTTTTGGTTTTTAATATAAACTAGATGTTAGGTCTTTCAAATCAGTGTCATGCTTTCCAATTACTTCGCAGCATGTAACAACGTATTTCCAATAAATTTAAAGTACTTGAAGCAAAAGGCAAAATGAAACTTATGATTTCATCTGTGCCCTTCTCTTAAGTTGCCCCTGTTTTGTTTGGACTTTGTAAAACATGACTAATTTCAGTACATGATTTCATTTTTTATCATAATGCTATTTAGTTGTTGACATTGTTCTATCAGACCTTTCCAACGTTTTGCTAGTGTTTGCAAATTTGATAAAGAGGCAAATTCAGACATAAAATATACAAAATAGTAGCCATTTGGCTTCTAAGCTGTCCTGAAATTCACTAAGATCATAACTAAATTTCTCCCTCAACTTCACTTCTTTTGTTTTGTCACACACTCTTTTAATGACTTCTGACTTCAATAAATATTTAGCTTTCGGAAGAATAGTCCACCTACGCGTGACATTAATTGCTGTACTGAACTACTTTTCCTGCCTTTGATAGGTTGACTGAGGTTGACTTGTCCATATCTGTGTTGGATCTAATCAACTTTTGAGTGGTCTCTTCGGAAATTTTCACTGCTGCCTCACTCTTTAGATTTGATGTATGGTGCTAAATTTCCTAATTATTCATGTAGTGCCCAAAATCTTCAATTTGGAACCGAGGGCCATTGTCACTCATCAGAATGCTGAGAATGCTATGACACCTTAAGGCTTTCTGTGTTCTCACTGGTAGTTGTTGATGTCTGCTGGTCAAAGTTCTAGTCGTCTGAAGAGTATTGGATGGTGATGAGATAATCAATCCTTGTGAGATTTAAGAGGTTTATTCCAAACTTCATCCATGGTCAGTCTGGGATGTCATAAGCAGATCTTTAACTTGATTAGTTTGATGTTTATTACAAGCGCTGTATTGAATGTATGATCCTTAATCTCACTGCTCATAAGATGATTTTTCCTGACTGTTCATTCTGAACTTGATTCCTTGGTGGTTTGCATGGATGCTGTCCATCTCTTTCAGGATGATGACTTTAATTCCTTCCTACAAGAGGCCAATCATTTGGGTATTCACTTCATCTTTGTGTGACCAATGCTGTCTTACAGCAACAAGTCCATTCTTGATCTTTTCAGATCATCAGGTTATCGCAACTTTCTATAGCACTTGTGCAGTTCCACCTTTGAGTAATTTGTTTGATGTGAGCCAAAATGCTTGTCTAACAAGATATGTCTAGCAGTCGTTGACTTGATGTGTACAGCATTGCAAATCTCTTGTACTTGAATGATTACCAGTGCAAGCTTTTGACTTGTTTCAGTGGAGATGAAGGCAGTTTGCATACTGCCCACCATTTAGAAGTGCTCATTTTCTTTCTTCCCGTTGTATTGGACTCTCAGCTTAGTTTGTTCACTTGAGGTGATCTTCATTCCATGATAGAGTCTCAACTTTACCTTTGGCTTCATTTTTGGTTCTTCACAATGAGCAACCTCACACACAGGATTTCAAAACTCATGATGTAATGTGTACCATATGAGCATGGTGACATTGTACACTTTTCACTGTACCTAGGTACAAGTGACAATATGAAATAAATCAGATCATTCATTTAATATTCTCCTTCTGTAGTTATTGTTCCACAAGTCTCATGCCATTTTTTTGAGACTTAACAGTACCAATGTATTCTACGGTGGAGAGAGATTCTTCAGAATCATCGTCCCACGTTTCCAGAATCTATCTCTAAAAGTTGTTTTCCTTTCAAGCAAAACACTTGCCTTCCACTGTGGTTCAGCTTCTTACAGTTAGTGCTTCATTCATGCTGGACATGTTTCCTTGCCACTTAAATGGTCTCCTGCACAGTATTCAAATACACAACAAGACTTTGATCTTTCTGGTGACCCTTCCATAAATTGTCCTTTCTACTTGCCATTCACTTGTACTTGGTAAGCTTGGACTGCGTCTCGAGCCCTGTCTTCCAAAAATACCCTTCAGCTGATAATTGAACCTTGGAGCTTCTGCTCAATGCCAACAACTTCTTTATAGAGTAAGTTTCTATTTTCTTAGCAAATGTGTTCCCATTACTGGATCTTTTCTTCCTCAGACAATCCACTCTCCGGTCATCCTTCAGTTGCCTGAGATTCAGCTGGATATCTCAGAGCAGTCACATAGTAATCAGTATTTTCGTTTCTTGCTGAGCTCTAGAATTAAATACATTGCACTCATAAATTACATTAATAAAAGGTACAAAGTGTGTCATTAAACCTCCAAAGTTTTATAATTTGGTTTTCTTGCTTTTCAGTGAGGTCTAGTGGGCAAAATGATTTGTTCCACACTTTGCCCAGCACTGATAAAGGGTTGCTACTCTTATACTGGGCTTCTTGTTTAGGTCTGTGGCAATCTCATAATTCAGCCATTCCGAATTGACGAATTTCCAGTTCAAACTCAAATCTCCAGAAGAGCAGGTACTGAAATATTCAAAGCAATAGTGAATCACCCAGCAATAAGTGTCCTGCACCAAGTTAATGTTATTGTTCTCTGCTGTTTTTCACAGCTATCGGCTCTCTTGGCCTCTATCAAAAATCACTCCATCCCAACTACACACTCCATGTCTTGTGTAAAATAGCTACTGCCCAATCCATTGTTTATGTAGAATGATAACTGTCAAATAAATATGACAAGCCACAGAGTATAAACAGTTTTTCCAATCACATAGCACAGAAACAGATTTTTGGTCCAATCAATTGTGCCTATGATTATAATAAGGCAAAGAACTGTTGTTGCTGGAAATCTGAAACACAAAAACAGCAATTGCTGGAGAAACTTCAGCAGGTCTGGCAGCATTTGTGCAGAAAAAGCAGAGTTAGTATTTTGGGAGGCCAGTAACCCTTCTTCAGAGCGAGAAGCAGCGAGGAAAAGGTGATATCTGTGCTGATGATGAGGGAGGGGGAAGGGAAAGCAAGGAGCAGATAGGTGGAGAGGGAACGCAGAGAGGAATAAAATGTAGACAGACAAAGAAATTGTTGATAGTAAGCCAGGGGAGAAGAGAAGCGAGACAATAACTTAGGCAATAATGGTGGCTGTAAATGTGTGAGACTGGTTTGGCTGTGTGAAAAGCAACTCATGTCATTACTGGACCTAGGGTGTGGGACTGTGTAACAGACATGAAAGGAGGTGTCCAAACTCTAAAATGATAATGAGTCCTCAAAGCTGTGAATGTCCTTAAGCAGAAGTCTAGGTGTTGCTCTTCTGAGTTCTGAAGAAGGATCACTGGACTCGAAATATTAGCTGTGTTTTCTCTCCACAGATTCTGACAGAGCTGCTGAGTTTGTCCAACAGTGTCTGCTTTTGTATGCCAGTGTTTATGCTGCTCCCAAGCCTTCTCTTCTGTTTCCCCAGCTAAATCTAAAATCATGAACCTATTTTCCTTTTCTCTTCATGTACCAATATAATTTCTCCTTAATTGCTTCTATTCACTTCAGCTGCTCCCTGTGGTTGTGAGTTCTACATTGTATCAGTTCTTTGGTTGAAGTAATTTCTTATGAATTTCCTTTTGCATTTCCTGATGATTACCTTAAATTGATAACGTCGAGCTCTGCCTTCGTCACAAGAAGAAACATTTTCTCTGTATCCATTCTGACAAAATTTTCCTAATTTTAAAGACTTCAGGCCATCCTTCAGCCTTTTTTGAGCAAAGAGGCATGGGCTGTCGATCCTTTCCTTTTCTGTACGTTTCTGAAATCATCCTCCTAAATCATTCAATTAGACCATGGCTGATCTTCACTAACCCTTAATGCTTTTGCCTGACAAAACCTCGTCCAGATAGGAGCAAATTCCTGCAGATGCTGGAATCTGAACTGAAAACAAAAATTGTTGGAGATCACAGTGGGTCAGGCAGCATCAATGGAGAGAAAACAAGCTAACGTTTCAGGTCTAGATGACTCTTCATCAGAGCTGAAGTGTAGTGTAGAGGGGGCAGCATTTATGCGATAGTTGGGAAGGTGGTTTGGTGTTGGAGTGCTGGGGAGAAAGCTGTTAATAGTTCAGTGTAAGTGATCAGAATGTGTGAATGGCAGAACAATGGTGTGTCTAACTACCAGACTGGAAAGAACAGACAACAGTGGGGTAAGGGGAGAGAGGTTGACAGAATGTAAAAGGCAAAGCTGAAAGAAAGGGAAGGAATTTGTACACAATTTGAAGGTGCTGAACTCAATATTGAGCCCAGAAGGTTGGAAACTGCCAAGTTTGAAGACGAGATTTTGCTCCTCCAGTTTACGGTGTGATTTACTGGAGAATTGCAGCATGCCGAGAACAGACGAGTGGGCATGTGAGCAACTTGCTGCATTAAAATGCCAGCTATGGGAAGGTTGCGGTCATGCTTGCGCAGGGACCAGAGGTGTTCTGCAGAGCTGCCAACCAGTCTGCGTTTGGTTTCGCCAACGTAGAGCAGGCTACATTGGAGACTGTTTGGGCCCTTGGATGGTGAGCAGGTAGGAAGCACCCCTGTATAACTTTCACATTATCCATTTCCGACACTTCCTTTCCTTTACCTCTCATCTCCATTTCGAGGAATAAACTGTCCACTGCCATCCGCTACAAAGCCACTGACTCCCATAGCTACCTTCACGTCCTGCAAGGATTCTATCCCATTCTTCCAGTTCATTTGTCTACATCGTACCCGTTCAGAAGATGCCACCTTCCAAAACAGCGATGCTGAAATGGCTTCCTTCTTCCATAACCATGGTTCCCTGCCCACTGTGGTTGACAGGGCTCTCAACCACATCCAACCTATCATCTGTGCTTCTGCCCTTGCCTCTTCCCATCACTCATAACAGTATGATCGGGTCCCTCTTTTTCTCACTTTTCACCCCACCGGCCTCTGCATTCAAAGGATCGTTCTCCGCCATTTCAGATAACACCAGCAGAGTGCCACCACCGAACACATCTTCCCCTCACTCCTCCTGTCTGCATTTTGCAGGGATTGTTCCCTGCGGGGGACACTGGTCCATTGCTCAACCACCAACACCAGCTCCTGCTTCCGACAGCGCCTTCCCATGTAACCACAGAAGGTGCAACACCTGCCCCTATATCTCCTCCCTGCTCACTATCCAAGGGCCTAAATAGTCTTTCTAGGTCAAACAGCATTTCACCTGTACCTCCTCCAATCTTGTGTATTGTGTTCGCTGCACCCACTGTGGCCTGCTCTACATTGGAGAAACCAAATGCAGACTGGGTGACCGCTTTGCAGAATACCTCTGGTCTGTGTGCAAGTATGACCCCAAACTTCCCATAGCTAGTCCCATAGCTTGCATGCCTATCTATCTGTCCTTGGCGTGCTGCAATTCTCCAATGAATCACAGTGCTAGCTGGAGGAGCAACATTGCATCTTCAAACTAGGCAGTATACAATCTTCTGGGCTCAATATTGAGTTCAACACTTTCAAATTGTGAACCCATTTCTTCCCTTCCTTTTAGCGTTGCTTGTTACATTCTCAGTTACCCTCTCTCCCCTTTCCCCCACTCTGGTGGGGACTGTCTGTTCTTTCCAGTCTGGTAGTTAGACACAGCATTGTTCTGCCATTCTCATGTTCTGATCTGTCAACATCCTTTCTCTCCCAACACTCCAGCTGTCCCTCCCTCTGCCCCCGCCAACTATTGCATTAACGTTGCTCCCTCCAGATTTCACTTCAGCTCAAATGAAGAGTCATCTTGACTCAAACCGTTAGCTTGCTTTCTCTCCATGGATGCTGCCTGACCCGCTGTAATCTCCAGCATTTTTTGTTTCCCATTCAAAACACCATCCATCTCAGTTTTAATGCTTTCAATTGATTCTCAGATTTCAGCAGTCCTTTGTGTGAAGGTGTTTTCCTGTCCTCTTTAACACCTAACGGTAATTTCAAGGTTATGCATGGCCCTGGCTGCCACACCAGTGAAATCTCTGATCCTTTTTACCTGATTGAAATCTTTAAACATTTCAAACGTCCCAGACCCTCCATTCTTCTTCTGTTTTCAGGGGAATGCATCTTGCCTCATAATTTAACCCTTTTATTTATGTATCATTCTAATAAACTGATGTTTTACTTGCCCTGCCATGCCAATATATACTTCCTGAGATATGATACAGTACTGTAAACTGTATGCAGGATTCTGGAAGTGCTGTAACAAGATTTATTGCAGTATATCATCATTTAATTGTCATGCTTTTATTTCTGTGCGTTTTGAAAAGGTAACCAGCTAACATGGCTTCAACACAGTGTGACCCTCGGCTGCTGCTGGAAGACAAGGTGAGGAAATTGTCAGAAGATCTTGCTCAGTGTCAGGTGAGTTTGCTTGCTTGGTGTGCCTGTTGCCCATTTCTACATTTGATCAATTGTGGTACAATAGAGATTGAAATTTTGGGGTCTCTTGTCTTTTAGCTTATATTTTTACGACCAGGTGAGAAACCCCATTTGTGCCGGTTTCAGACAGAATGCCCCACATTGTTGAATTTCAGGGTAAGGAGGGATGAATTGGTTCTGCTTCTTTATTCACCCTGCCCTTGGTTGATTGCAACAATTTAGAAAGGATCCCTTCCCTGTGGATGCATTCCACTAGATCCAAATTAACTCGTGTTTTAAAAGGAGACAAGTTAATTAACCAGACTTTCTTGAATTAACAAAAAAGACTGGGTTTCTTAATTACTACATGTTAGAAGAAATACCATCACAATACACATACAGATTTAGAAAGAAGATTCAAGCCTAAAAAGATGAGATTTTATACATTGTATAGATGAATCTCTGAATTGCTTATAAACACAGAAGCATAGGAACAGAAGTAGGTCATTCAGTCCCTTGAGCCTATTCCACGATTCAATGAGACCATGGCTGATTTTTTTAACTCTGTATATCTGCCTGTAGCCCATATCTCTTAATATCTTTGCTCAACAAAAATTTACTTATCTCAGATTTAAAATTAACAACTGATCTAGCATCCAACGCTGTTTATGGAAGAGAGTTACAAGTATTTACCACCCTTTGTGTATAGAAGTGTTTCTAAATATACCTCCTGAAGAGTCTGGCCCTAATTCTCAGACTGTACCCCATAGTTCTAGAATCCCAATCGGTGGAAATAGTTTATCATTATCTGTCTGGTCTTTTCTTGTTAATACCTTGTAGACTTTGATCAGATCCCTTTTAGCCTTCTGAATTCTAGAGCAAACAGGTGTAATTTACATAGCCTCTCCTCATAACTTAACCCCTGATATCCAAGGAAGAGGAGATAAGACAAGATTGTGGCTGTTACTGGGTTGCATTGGTTGGATTGATGTTGGGAGTTGAGCAATCATTTTTTGACATTCTTGTTTTTTGGGCTGACTGAAGTTCCTTTGTCCTGATTTGTTTTTTTTAAACAGGTTGGCAGCTTTTGTATGAGGGAGTTTTCCTTTCTTTACCTGCGATACAAGTGTACTTAGTGAATTTTCAGATTGTGATTATCACAACATACCAAACACACACTAGTTCCATAACAACGTAATATTAATACACAGACTATTGAGGAAGCTCTCTCTTTTGAATATTCCTGTAAGTGGAAACCACAAAATGTCTGTAACTGGTGGCTGTCAGGGTACGGCAGAGAATAGTCAACTCTGTCCTCAAGTCAATCTCTTTCTGAAGTTCCTTTGACACCTTTAGGTTTTATGTTCCTTTGGTCCCACAAAAAGGTCTTTTTGTCTCATTTAAACTAGCTTGTACTGTTGCCTGTTTTACTTAATATGGATTCCAAGCAAACACTTGCTTTACTTTTCTGATAACTATCTTACTACTTTTTTATTTATCTAGTTAATCCTGAATATCAAATGAACATCTTTGTGACAATGCAGTTTTCATTTTGAGTCAAAAGCTATGTCAGAAGTACTAGATAAAATACAGAAAGGTGGCAAAGCAGAAGATCAATTCGTGAAAGTAATAAGATTAGCAATCCCAGGCCCTAATGGTTAGGACAGCAAATCTACAGAAACTATTAGATAGAATGATTGAGGTGGTGAAAGCTTACCGAATTAAAATTAAAGATGAAAGTTACAAAGATCAAAAGAAATAATGGTGGGTAAGCAGAGGTCAAGATAAATGGTCAACGACTGGAACAGATATCTTAGTTTTAAGTATCTGGGGGGAAAGAATGTCAGCGGGTGGCTACTACCACAAAGAAATTAGAGTTAGTACAGCAATTGTAATGACCAGTCCCTGGGTGAGCTCCCCCAATTTAGTATGGTTCCAGATGGGTTACTCCAAACAGCCAAGCAGTTGGGGGAGGAGGAAATAATTTGCCCTCTTTATTTACCTGTCCCCTCAGTTGGTTGCAAAAAATTAATTTATAAAAACATTCTTTCCCTTGCGGATGCCTTCCTCCCGAGACCAAACAAATGCAATGTTTAAAAGGAACCAATTTAACCAAGGTATTTTGAGTTAACGTAAGAATGAGTATTTTAGCCACAAGAGATGGGAAGAAACAATAGCTCAAGTCACTTATACACAGATTAGACATGAGAGGTGAGTCCATAAAAGATAAAAGTGAAAGAGGATATACGGATCGGTCTCTTTGCATTCTGTGAGCACTAGACAGTGGGACTATGAGCTTTACTTTGAGTTTTAGAACATAGAACATAGAACAGTAAAGCACAGTACAGGCCCTTCGGCCCACGATGTTGTTCCTACCTATTATCCTACTAAGATCAATCTACCCTGCATACCCTACATTTTACTATCCTCCATGTGCCTATCCAAGAGTCTCTTAAAAGTCTCTAAAGTATCTGACTCCACTACCACTGCCGGCAGCGCATTCCACACTACTCTCTGTGTGAAGAACCTACCTCTGACATGTCCCCTATACCTTCCTCCAATAACCTTAAAATTTTTACTAGTACCACAGATGTTGGTAGGCAAGCAGTTGATTTTGAGAGACTTAGCTTTGCAAGTCATCTGATATTGGCTTGCAGAAGCCAGAATGAGAGATTTTCTTTTCCTTTTTTATTTGCAGTGCTATGGTATTTAATGATTGTCCTTCAGTAGCGACCTTCACAGCACGCTACTTCACTAACACATAGTCAGACTGCCATTGGTTTTTAACCCTTGTTTTGTATATTCCTGGAAGACTGACATTCAAACATGCCTTTTGATTCATGTCCACACTCTAGAATGTAACCCACCATCAATGATTTCCTGCTGACAGAAGGTTAATTTGATTGCCTTGCACATCTGCAATTTAAGTGTTCTCTCTTTCTATGAAACTTCCGTGGCACTTGACGATGTGCAACATCCCAGAGGTTTACATAGAGAATCTTTCAGTTGTCAGTGATGTCCATGCCTAGAAGTTACATTATCAGCCAGGTTTGGCCTACAATGCAAAACACATTAGGATTCTAATTCATTGTTGTGACACACTCACAAAGAATGCATTCTCCAAGCATAAATAATTGCTCAGGACAGGAATGACTGGACGTTCTAAAGAATTAGCAAGACTAATTTGGGTTGTCTTGTCGTTATGGGCAAAAATATGGACCGTGATTAAAGTGAGCATTGAAAGAATAGAAATCTGTGAAATGTCCTGAAGAATTTAGAAAGGCATGGTGGCTCAGTGGTTAGCACTGCTGCTTCACAGCACCGGGCACCCGGGTTCAATTCCAGCCTCGGGGGGGCTGCCTGTGAGGAGTCTGCACATTCTCCCTGTGTCAGTGTGACTTCTGCCGGGTGCTCTGGTTTCCTCCCACAGTCCAAAGATGTGCTGGTTAGGTGGATTGGCCATGCTAAATTGCCCATAGTATCCAGGGGTGTTTAGGTTAGGTGGATTAGCCATGGGAAACGCAGGATTACAGGGAGAGGGTAGGGGGTGAGTCTGGGTGGGTTGCTCTTTGGAGAGTCAGTGTGGACTTGTTGGGCCGAATGGCTTGTTTTCACACTGTAGGGGATTCTAAGGATGGAGTGGGTCAACTGGAGAGAATATGAGCAATGAAGAAGTTCTCAGGCTGGAGGAGGAGGAAAGGTTGTTAATGTATATATAATTAAAACAAGGCAACAAAGTTGCATTAGACATATTCTAAAATATGAGAAATTGATGAAGGAGGTGGAAAAACAGAGGAATGCCGAGCAAGGAGGAGGAGGAAAATGATATCAGCCAATTGCAATTGCAAATGGAAGGCTCCAATAACTAACTAAAGGTGAAAGTACAAGGCTGTGAAAATTGGAACAGTGAGAAGTGCATCTGCTGTTGGGCCGATCAATACAATATAAAAATGTAACTGTATTTCTGAACCTATAAATAAGTTTGGGACAGTCTTTGCTTAATTACCTACAAAAGGGAGATTGGAGTCTACTGTGTGTACAAGACTGTTAACACTTTGTTTAATCTGTTATTTAAGAATGAGTTTTGTTCATAAAAAAAGTAGCAACTACTGATTAAGATGTAAATTAGGAACTAGAATAAAAAACATGTCCCCTTAATCCCACACATGCCTACACAGCCACCCACATCATGAGAGACAAGTCTCTGCAGGGTTTTAAAAATGAAAAGGCAAAATGGAAAATAATATCCTATGGGCCTGTGAAAACAAAGGATAAGATTTGACAACTTCATATGTCTGCTGAATTTCCTTTTGATGAAGCTGAATTGCTGACAGTTGTAGATTGGAATCAGAACTGAACATCTATCATGCCCTGAGAGTCCTCAGTTTTAACTCTGGATCCCATGAAGTTTGATAGCATCACGTCAAACATAGGTAAGGAAATCTCCTGCTGGTTACCAGCACTACTGCCTGTCCTCGGCTGTGAATCAGTACTACTCCATGTTAAACAGCATTTGAAGCAAGTGCTGAGGTACAGATGCAGAATGTACTCCAGTAAGGTCTTCAATGTCCATCAACAGGACTATTGACTGAGTTGGTCAAATCCGAAAGAACGAAGCTGCTACACTGGGGTTTGTGGCAGGTGGGAAGGGTAATATTGGTAGGAGTCAACACTGCATAGTCCTTGTGAAGATAATGTTCCAGTTTCATATTGAGCAGAGTTTCCTTTATGTTGTGGCAATAGCCACCATACTAATTGGCGTAGATCTCATACAGATCTAGTTACTCAAGCCTGGGCATCAATGGGCAGGCTATGGGCCATCAGCAGCAGCTGAATTGTACTTCAGTGCAGTATGCAACTTCAAGACCTGCATATCCCCCATTTTACTAAAACTATTCATTTGTAGGATACGTGGAACAATCCCTCTTCCAAAGCTATACTGGCCCTATCCCCCATCTCTTCCTCCGTTACATCGATGACTGTATCGGCGTCGCCTCGTGCTT